TCCTCTCCCCATTTACAAAAGATCTATCATCCTATTCCCATTGCACTTTTTGGTCTTTCATTCTTTTTGTAACTAAAAAGTATCTTTCCTGTTAGTTGATCCTATTAAATATAAAAATTGAAAATTAAAGGCTTTTAAAAATAATGGTGGGTATAATTCTATGGGGAAAGCATCATATGATCTTACAATCATTCTTTTAGGACTGACTCAGTTTTGCTGTTACTTTTTTATTTCTCAATAAGAAATAGCTAAACTCTACTGGCGTCAGGGAACTGCCTCAGGTCGGCAAAACGGCGGGAAGCCACGAAGAGGACTGTAGAAATTGTGGTCCGGGAATCCCGAGAGTGAGGAGATTGTGGTTTTTTCTTGTGAAGACCGGACGGTATCTGTCCTACATTGCGGAATTATGAGAAACAGTTGCCCTGGTTTCCGACCGGAAGCTGGCCAACTGGGTAAGCGCAGCGTCCGTTACCCTCGGCTTTCTGGGAAATGTAGTTCCGGTGCTCGGAACAGTCCGAGCCACTTCCGCCCAGGAGAGGGAGGCAGTGCCACTATCTTTTCGGTCCGGAAGGTGAGTACCGTATACCCTTCGCTTACACCACCCTTCGGAGCCCTTTCAGATGCGAGTGGGACCAAACTGGGCGGTCGGTTTAGCACGGGGAAGTCGCGGCCGCCGGCTGAGGCTGAAGGGCGGAGGGCGGAAGTGCGGTTGCCTTCTGTGTCTTCCCCTCCCAAAAGCATCGCGGCTGCTTCCATCGGCGCGAGACCTGCGCTCTAGTTTCCAAATCTAAAGTAGCAGTAAAGCTCCCAGTTACCGGCTAGGGCGCGTGGTTAGAATCAAACCAGACAATACATGTCAAAGGTTTGGGACTGTAGTGGAGCCGGAAAAAGGGTTTCCTTTGGCTGCTGACAGTGATGCTCTCACAAGCGCCCTTTTCAGGGAAGTCCCTTGAAGAGAAAGTTCAGGGCTCCGGGCCCTTCTGTTGCATCCTTCAGGAAAGAGAGAGATAGGAGAGGAGCGACGTGCTTTCTCACCGCATGCTTTTCTTCACCCCAGAAAGAGCAGGGGGAAAGGACTTCTCCCAGCCTCGCCCGGGTACCACTACTTTATGTACCTTCTTGTTCCGTCATCTTTTCGGTCCATCAAGTTTCTCTCCATCAATTACCACTAGGAATATGATCACATCTTTTTGAGTAAATGTGCGAATGTGTAGGAGAGAAACTCGGAAATGAAATTATTAATAGCATCTCACCACTTTGATTTCTAAACATTCTTCTATGAACTATGTATCTACATAGATCGATGAAGTAGATCTTGTTATTACCTTTATTTTAAGGATGAGAAAATGAGACAGAGAGAAGGTGCATTGTTTCCCCAAAGTCATTCAACTTAATACTAAGAGCTGGCTTTGTAGTTGAACCTAAGCATTAATCTTAATCCGAGTGATATAATGACCTTCAGTTATCCTGACTAGTAGTCCATTTGGCTGAGGGGGGTGTCATTTGAGATTAAACCGATGGGAAGGTACTGTAGTTGGAAGTTTCTTATGGAAGACCTTGAACACTACACTGATATTGGGCCAGGGATTTAGCTCAGTGGTTCTGCCGCCTGCCTCTTAAGCACAAGGTCCCAAGTTTGATCCCCGGTACAAAAGAAAAAAAAAAAAACAACCCACTGATTTTTTAAAAATCCCCAAACATGTCATTCATTTAATTTGATTCCATGTCAAATAAAGTAAGTCACATGCTATAAGTCGTTACTGCTATAACGAATGCCCATTTTAGAGATGTGCTATCCAATCCAGTGCCTTATGAATTTACACCTTATGAATGTTTGAACTGTGGCTCGTCCAAATTGAGATGTGCTACGAGAAATATGTGAAATAAACATTGGATTTTAGAATGTACGAAAAGATTATAAGATGGGTCATCAGTGATTTTTCTGTATTGATTACATGTTGAAATGATGTTTTGGATAAATTACACTGCTAAATAAATATAAATTTTCTCCAAAATAAAATATATTGCTAAAATTAACTTCACCTATTTTTGTATTTTGTTTCTTTTTTGCCTTTTTAAATTTTCACTACTAGAAAATCTAAGTTTACTTATCTGATTAGGTACTTTTTTTTTTAGTACTGAGGAACTCGGGTCCTTGCACTTGCGCAGCAGGTGACAAAACCACTGAGCTAAATCCCTGGCCCCCTGCTTAGGTACGTTTTTATTAGATATGTAGCTAATTCAGAAAATACACAAATGAAAAAAGAAAAATTAAATATTACTTTGTTAGTATTTACTGCATATGTATTTATGGATGTTTCTCAAAATTGGCAAGCAAGTCTGTAGTTTCTTTCCCTTATTTTGGAAATTTCCAAGCGTGTGCAACTGTAAAGAGTAATATAGTGAATCCTCATGTCATCAAGACTTAGTTTCAATCTGTCTCTTTCCCTTTGTTTGTTTGTTTGTGACAGGGTTTTGTTACGTTGCCTACACTGGTCTCAAACCCATGGGCTCAAGCAGCCCTCCTGCCTCAGCTTCCCAAAGTAGCTGGGATTACTTCCCATTTACCTAAAATAGAGTATTTTAAAGCATATCCCAAACATCAGATAACGTTTCCTTAAATTGTACCATGACCTGTAAATGGAAGCTTGCTTTTGGCATTTGCACAATGTATCTTTTTCCATCCCTTTTCTTTCAAACTTTCTGTCATTGTGTTTTAGTAGTATCTGTTAGAATATCGGATTTGTTCTTTTCCTGTAGTCAGGGATGTTTAATCTGCGTGCATGTGTGTGTGTGTGTGAGTGTGTTCTATATGTACATGTATGTATCTTTTTAATTTAGTACACTTTGCACTGCTTCCTTTTCTCTCTGTTTTCAGCTCAGTTTATTCCCTCTTAGATATCCTCAGTGGGTTTAAACCTATATACTCTTAGGTCATACTTTTAACTTTAAAAAATTATCTACCTTAGGGGGCTGGGGATTTAGCTCAGTGGTTTCATCGCCTGCTGCGCAAGTGCAAGGACCTGAGTTTGATCCCTGGTACCAAAAAAAAAAAAATTATCTACCTTAACAAATAGTTGCATGTATTGTCATTCTGAAAAATATAGAGACAAAAAAACCTTAAAATTTGATAATGTCCCTTTTCTGTTGGTCTGTTTTTAATTATAGGCTAGGTTATAGGTCTACCTTTTATTATAACTATCCTCAAAGTTGGTCATTATTATTCTTGGCTTATTTCTTTTTGTTTGTTTGTTTGTTTGGTACTGGGGATTGAACTCAGGTTCTTGTGCTTGCACAGGAGGCAGAGAAACCACTGAGCTAAATCCCCTGCCTTGGCTTATTTCTTTTTAACAAACATTATTTTGTTGTCAACATATTTATAAATATTTTCTTCCCATTACTTCTTGCAGTCTTTTTCAGGGTTCGTATAATCATAAATTTTCTTCATTATCGTTCATCTAAAATATCTTTGTACCTTAGACCTCATGTAACAATCATTTTTTTTGAGCATAGAAAAGTAGACAGTTCTTTTTTTTTCTTCACTGTGGAGATAGTATTCAGGTTTTTTTGGTTTCCCATTTAGTTACCAGTTTTTGGCAGTTGTCACTTATTTTAGGTAAATTTATTTTCTTTCTGAGAGCTTTAAGATTATAGTGGCTGTTTTCAGCTCTTTGTGTTTGTTTAGTCTGTTACTTTCTCAAGTTTTACTATGCTTCGTTAGTTTAGGAGTATGTTTATTTTTTATACTGTGTAGCATTCCTCTATGTAAATGCATATTTTCTACCAATTGTGGGAAATTCTCAGGAATTACCTTTTTTTTTTTTGAGACAGGGTCTCACTGTGTAGTCCAGGCTGGTCCTGAACTCTCTATGTAGACCAGGTTGGCCTCAAACTTACAGTGAGTCTCCTGCCTCAGCCTCCCAAGTGCTGGCATTATAGGCATGTGCCTCCATGCCTGGCAGCAATTACCTTTTGAAGGAAGTCCCCTTTGCCATTTCTTCCATTCCCTTATGTTCACCTTGCTTTTAAACAAATGTTGGAGCTTTTTTATTTATTTCTAGCCACCTTAATTTTTCTTTTATTCTTCATCTCTTTCTTTGCTATGTGTTTTTCTTTATCTCCATGCACATAGCATAAAAGGGATTTATCAATGAGCCTTTTCTGATTTCATGAAGTAAATTGACCCTGAAATAATACTTTATAGAAAACTGATACCAGTGTCAATAACAAATGACTAGTGGGCAACAAATTATAAACTAAGAAGTTATTTTAAGTCAGAATTAGTCTTTTTCACAAATTAAAGGTGACTTTCATGGAAGAGCAATCTTTGTAAGAACTGTTTATATCTCAAAGTATCGTCTGATTTTTTTTTTTTTTTGTAGCTACCAGAGAAGGGGATTCTGGTTATTAGAACTTTCCATCTACTCATTTAATCCCTGGAGCTACCCTATGAGATAGATACAGTGTATGATTCTTCTCTTCATTGACAGATAGCAAAAGTGAGGCACAAAGAATTATTTTTAAACATCCCTTGGATTACACAGATGGTAAAGTGTCACTCTCCGAAATTACACAAGGCACTTGCCTCCAGAGCACACTGTTTTGTGGCCCACATGTTACCCTCATCTGCTGTCAGTCCCAGGATTAGAAAATCTTATGGAGGGCTAAGGCTGTAGCTCAGTGGTAGAGCACTTGCCTGGCATACACAAGCCATTGGGTTCAATCCCTAGTTCCGTAACAAATAAAAAGGAAGGGGAGGGGGAGGGGAGGTTTTTATAGAAATTCTTACTGCCATTGTATTGCATTTGGTCTTACAGACTGTTCACTGCACAGGAAGGCCGGTTAGCAGCTGGGATCTCCTCCCTGCTCCCATCACCAGCTGCATGTGGCGGCATCTGTCTGGAAGGAAGTAGGGGCTCTGTTGTGTAATTTCCATGAAGATCCACTTGGGCTAATGGCAGCTCTGACCTGTGTCTCATGGCCTCCTTTTCCTTCCCCAGTTATGCCTTCTCAGGACTCTAACCTCCCCCAGAAGGAACAGGAGAAAATGACCACATTTCAAGTAAGGTGTTTTCCTGTCTGGCGATATGAAACTGATTTTCTGGGGGGTTTTGGTTGTTGTGGACTTGTGTTTTGGTATTCTCTCTCTCCTTCTCACTGCTCCCCTTCCTCCAGGAGTATTGGAGGATTGAGGTTATGTGTGTTTGGTGTTGTAGGCGGCAGTAACATTCAAGGACGTGGCTGTGGTCTTCACCACTGAAGAGCTGGGGCTGCTGGACTGTACGCAGAAGAAGCTGTATGAAGATGTAATGGTGGAGAATTTTAAGAACCTGGTTGCAGTGGGTAAGGACAGGCATCCTTTGAGCCTGAACTTCAACTCCCTTGAGAGTCGGTGCCCTCAGATGTCAAGGCTTTGGACCATTTGAAATGATTCCCTGCTCTTGAAAACAGCATAGTTTCTAATTCCTGGGATAACAGAGCTTTTTCTGGGATTTGTGCTTATGCAAAATTCCATCCTTTTAAATCACTAGTTTTCAATCAGGTGTGGTTTTTCCATCAGAGGATATTTGTCAAAGTCTGGAGACAGTTGTCACAGCCTAGGGAGGAATACACATAGGCAGGTGGGTAGTGGCTGGTGAACTTCCTGCAGTGCTCAGTCAGCCCCCTAGCAGAGAACGGGCTGGTCCAAAGCATCAGCAGTGCCGCAGTGAGAAACCCTCTTTTCAGTGAACTGTAAACGGACACTTTAGCTTATATAGTTTGCCTTTCAAATTAGGATTGTGGCTCTTTGGTGGGTTATAAAATAAACATAGCACCTTGTACTGGGATTTCCCCAATGAACTAGATAAGGATAGGATATGTCAGGGTTCCTTCTCAAGAATCACATGCTGCAGCAAAAACCGACCATTTTCAGTGAGTGATGTAAGAGATAGTGATGAAAAGGACATTGGTTTTAAATTTAACTTAAGATAGGTATAGGGATAGAGATACAAACTAGGCTATGACCTAAATTTCTTATTTGACAGTCAAAAAAGTTCTTGAAATACCACTTGGGTTCTGAAGAGTATGTGATTTAGACAAAAGTATATTTTAGGTATGTGTTCACTTGAAATATATATTTCTCTGCCTTTTCACAGGGCATCTTCCCTTCAAACCAGACATGGTATCCCAATTGGAGGCAGAAGAAAAGCTCTGGATGATGGAAACCGAAACCCAGAGAAGTAGGTTTTCTGGCACGAACCATGTGCCTGCTCTTTCAGGTACCAGCTGGTCTGACCCTCCGTCCCTTTAAAAATACAGTTCATGAATCTCAGTTCATAAACTCAGTTCTCTCCATGATTCTGGTCCCAAACTGAACTGGACGAGAACCAAATCACATTTCCCCATGAAGTCAACATTGAACCTAACAATTGAATTTCAGTTCTCATCCAATTCAGTTTGCGACCAGAATTGTGGAATTGAGTTTGTGAACTGAGGAAGCACCGTGTTATTTTAGGACAAGTTCTTTCTCAGTGGCCCAGGGTGGCTTCAGACTTGTGATCTTCTTGCCTCAGCCTCAGTAGCTGGACTTACATGCCAGCTAATAAGCTTTTACTTGATATTATTGTAGGTTGGGATTAGGTTATCTTTTGATGCCCTGCAGCCATCTGATTTCAAGCTTGTAGCTCTTATGCTTCTAAGTGGGTCACATTGATCCCATGTGTTCCCACTTGCATGAAAAACATAAGAAAGTATAAATAATGTTGTAAGCCTTCCCTGGCTTCTTAAGGCCTTACCTTGTGGCCCTGATGTGAAACTGATATTTCTGAAGAAAATATTTGCCTGTCTTCATTTCTGAATTTTGTTTTCTTACAGGTAGCATGAATCAAAATGAGATGGAGACCCTTCGAAAATTTGCATTAAAATATCTTTCACATGAAGAGCTATCCTGCTGGCAAATCTGGAAACATGTCGCAAGTGAATTAACCAGGTGTCTTCACGTGACAGATTCCCAACTGCTACAAGGTGGTTGCATTCAGGTTTCTGAAAATGAGAAAAATGTAAAGTATCCTAAAGGAGATAGCTCCAGGTATACTGAAAATCAAGAGTTTTCAATTTCAAGAACCCAGTATTCCTCCGGAAATAAGTATCTGATTGAGTCACAGAATCAGAGTAGAGATAAGCAAATTGACATGAAAAACAGCCTGCATGTATGTGAAGATATGATGACGAAATCATTTAGTGAGCAACTTAAAACTGGCACAGAGCAAAAAGCCTCCCAACATAGTGAATGTGGCGGAGGCATCAATGACAGCTCCAATCAGCAGTTGCCTTTAGGAGAGAAACTTCTTCCATGTAGTGAGTGTGGAAGGGGCTTCAGTTATAGCTCAGGGCTTCCTTGGAGTGTTCACACAAGAGAGAGATGCTTCAGTCAAAGCTCGCACCTGCAGTCTCATCTGAGAATTCACCCAGGAGAGAAACTGGGTAAAGGCTGTGAGCCTGGTGATTGCATCAGTAAGAGCCCTTTTCTTTCTCACCCATCAAATTGTATAGACGAGAAGTCCTATAGATGTGACAGTTGTGGCAAAGGATTCAGTAGCAGCACAGGTCTCATCATCCATTACAGAACTCACACTGGAGAGAAGCCTTATAAATGCGAGGAGTGCGGTAAATGCTTTAGTCAAAGTTCAAATTTTCAGTGCCATCAGAGGGTTCACACTGAAGAAAAACCATACAAATGTGAAGAGTGTGGTAAGGGCTTTGGTTGGAGTGTTAATCTCCGTGTCCATCAGAGGGTCCACAGGGGTGAAAAACCCTATAAATGTGAAGAGTGTGGTAAAGGCTTCACTCAGGCTGCACATTTTCACATACATCAGAGAGTCCACACTGGAGAGAAACCCTACAAATGTGATGTGTGTGGTAAGGGCTTCAGTCACAATTCACCATTAGTATGCCATCGGAGAGTCCATACTGGAGAGAAACCATATAAATGTGAGGCATGTGGGAAAGGCTTTACCCGAAATACAGATCTTCATATCCATTTCAGAGTTCACACAGGAGAAAAACCCTACAAATGTAAGGAGTGTGGGAAGGGCTTCAGTCAGGCTTCAAATCTTCAAGTCCATCAGAATGTCCACACAGGGGAGAAACGGTTCAAATGTGAAACGTGTGGGAAGGGCTTCAGTCAGTCTTCAAAGCTTCAAACCCATCAGAGGGTCCACACTGGAGAGAAACCATACAAATGTGATGTGTGTGGTAAGGACTTCAGTTACAGTTCAAATCTTAAACTACACCAAGTCATTCACACTGGAGAAAAACCATATAAATGTGAGGAGTGTGGGAAGGGCTTCAGTTGGAGATCAAATCTTCATGCTCATCAGAGAGTCCACTCAGGAGAGAAACCCTATAAATGTGAAGAGTGCAATAAGAGCTTCAGTCAGGCCATTGATTTTCGAGTACATCAGAGAGTCCATACTGGAGAGAAGCCATACAAATGTGGCGTGTGTGGTAAGGGCTTCAGTCAGTCATCTGGCCTCCAGTCCCATCAGAGAGTTCATACTGGAGAGAAGCCCTACAGATGTGAGGTGTGTGGTAAAGGCTTTCGATACAGCTCACAGTTTATATACCATCAGAGAGGCCACACTGGAGAGAAACCTTACAAATGTGAGGAGTGTGGGAAAGGCTTTGGGAGGAGCTTGAACCTTCGCCATCATCAGAGGGTCCACACAGGAGAGAAACCTCATAAATGTGAGGAGTGTGGTAAGGCCTTCAGTCTCCCTTCAAATCTTCGAGTTCATTTGAACGTTCACGCTAGGGAGAAACTCTTTAAATGTGAGGAATGTGGGAAGGGCTTCAGTCAAAGTGCTCGTCTTCAAGCCCACCAGAGAGTCCACACTGGGGAAAAACCATACAAGTGTGACACATGTGGTAAAGACTTCAGTCACCGTTCTCGTCTTACATACCATCAGAAAGTCCACACTGGCAAGCTCTAGAAATGAGAAGTTTATTGATGAATTTTATTGGAATATACATCTTCAAGTTTTTAGGAAGTCCATGCTGGCGATGAACTATAAAAATATCAAGAGTGGGATTTCTTCAGACTCCGAATTTAACATATCCTTTAAAATGATGACAGAAACAGTGACAGGACCACAACTCATATTTAAGGAAGTAGAGATTGTGGTCCTCTTGGCAATATACGTTTAATACAGATGACCTTTCAGTGTGACTCTGGTAATGTGTGAAAGGATATTTGTCATATGCTAACTAGTTTTTTAAATATTTGGTCAGGGAAGGTTGTGCATTATTTTTCTTTTAACTTTCCTTTTACACTTGACAGTGGCCATTTTTATTAAAGCTGTAAAGATACAAAAAATGAATAAAATTACTAAGTGTCCTGTAGCTAAGGACTCATAATATGATATTATTTCATGTAGTATAGTGGGTTAAAATTAAAGAGCAGATCCCCAGAGATGAATCTTGGATCTTCAGAAGTAAATTTGTGCCACAGATGTATTTGAAAAGATGTTCGTGGCTTCACTGGTTTAGTAGGAATCTCAAACAGTCAGTTGGATTGCCAAAGTATTTTATGCTTTACCAACCCAATGGAACACTGTGCAAACATCTAACAAGAGTAGGTAAATTTGTAGTTATAGAGGCTGGACAATGTCCATAATAACTTGGAAAAGCAAAAAGCAGATTTTTTGTGATCCTACTTAAAAAGAAAGGTATAGATATGTATTTACTTTGACCTATCTCTAAATGATGCAAATTTGATATATTTTTATATTTCTAGAAACTTTATTTTAAAATTAAAACTTTAGAAAAATTGTAAAAAAATGTTGTAAAGTCTCTGTACCCTTGACCCAGATATCAGCACGATTGAGTCATTCCATCCATATATGTGAATGTGTGTACACACATACATTGCTACCTGTGGAAGCACACATTTTTTAACCATATAAGTACATTATAGACATCTTGCCCCTTACACTAAATACTTAAAAGTGTATATTCCTAAGGAAAAGGATATTTACTTAAAACAGCCACCATATCACATTCAGAAAATTTTAATCGTGATACATTACACAATTTAACCTATAGAACTTATTTAAATTTCATCATTTGTTCTAATATGATACATTACTGTGGGGGGGTCCTAAGTTGTGTCAAGGATTGTACATTGTGCTTAGCCACCTTTAATTTGGATCACTACCTCAATGGTTGTTCTTGGGGTTTTTTTTGTTTTTTTGGTACTGGGGATCGAACTCCGGTCCTTGGACTTGCGAGTCAGGTGGCGGAACTACTGAGCTAAATCCCCCGCCCCCTCATTGTTTGTTTTTAAGAACCTTGAAGTTACTCTCTTTCCCTCTAAAACCAGTAATTTGTGGAGAGATACTTTCTGCTCTGTAAGTAGTTTGTTTTTCAACAAAATTACCTCGACTGGTCTTAGTATTCAGTATAGGTCTGGCTGCGGGGGTTTTAGCTCAGTGGTTCTGCCTCCTGTCTTGCAAGCGCAGATTCCACAGTTTGATCCCTAGAACCAAAAAAGAAAAGGGTCTGGCCTAAATTATTACTGATGGTTGTACAAGGGTAATTTTTCTACCTTCATCATTTCTTCAACATTTGTTGCATTATCAGACTACTTTAAGGAAGAGTTTCCCTTCTGTCCTGTTTGCCCATCATGTATTTTTCATAGTTTGAGCATACCCTTATTCTGGTGTGATATTCCAGACTCAACTTGTACTTTTTATTTTTATTTTTTTTGTACCAGGGATCGAACTCGGGACCTTGCACTTTCGAGGCAGGCGCCAGAACCACTGAGCTAAATCCCTGGCCCTCAACTTGTACTTTGACTTCCCCCAGCCATGCAGTTTCCTATTTCTTTAGGAACCTTGGTTCTTCATATTGGAAAATGGCACTTAGAAATCAGGATTTAGGCAGTAGATGTGTGGTTCCCCCACCCACCATAGTTTTCCAAATTACAGGAGTTTGAAGACAGATAAATGGATGGATAGGAAGGAAAGTAGTGTAGGGGGAAAGGGTCTCTAGGCAGGGAATGTATAGAATAAGGGCCTCATTAGGCTTTCTGGCTAATCCTGACTAGAAGGAGTTAAAACTTTACTGGAGGGAGCAATTAGGACAAGAGGGCAGCAGACTGATAAGCAGAGTACAGGTGTATTAACCAGAATAGCTGCCCCTCCTCACTTTCAGTAAAATGCAAAGGAGACAAAAGGTGGAGGGGGCTACTTAAAGGAATATATGTAGTGTATATTTTCCACTAGGGTCACTATATTAGTGTACTAGATACACATGAATCTCCTTATTTAACCACCAACTGGACCTTGTATGTAAGGCTTCTCTTAACTGACCTATAAATCCCACAGATAACAAAGCCTACCTAGGAATGCACAGGTAGGCAAGGGCCCTGGTTTAGGGTCCTGAGGCCTGGGCCTCATCTGCAGGCAGGCCAGAGAGCCAGTCAGGTTGTGACAAGTTTCGGGGGTGGGTCCCCTAAAATAATAAAAGGCTGGAGACAAAGGGCCTGTGGGAATCCATCTTCTTCTTGGACCCCTGCCCCCACTTCAGGGGAGCTTTCCCTCTTCTGCTTTTTCCTCCTTACAAATAGTGTCTTCCCTCTTTTTAAACTCTGTCCCATTAATTTGTCACTGATGCTGAGTTTGTGATCCCAGTTGGCTGCTGCACCCCCAGATGTGATAGTAGAAATAGAGAAAAAAATCATGAGTTCATACTTTACCTAAGTTGTGTTTTTATTTTTCTATTACTGGGAGTTGAACCCATGACCTCATGCATGCTAGGCAAACATTCTATCACTGAGCTCTAACCTCAGCCCCTTTTTAGATATTATTTTTTGTTGTTCGAGACAGGGTCTTTCTGAGATGCCCAGATTGGCCCCAATTTGCAGTCCTTCTGCCTCAGCCTTTTGAGTAGCAGTGATTACAGATGTGTACCACTATGCCTGGCTTAACTCCAATTCTTAAATCAATATCTGAGTGTTCTTCCTAGTCTTCCCCTCATTCCATATTGTATTTTCTCCAAGAGTCACACATTTGGCTCCCACGTGTTTACTGGAGGAAGTGGACATGTACCTACCTACAACTTTTGGAGTATTGGACAGCTAATGCTAGGGATGATTTTTCAATGCATAGTATCCCAAACGTAACAACTTTCCGTTTTCAGAGCATTGACCCTTTTTGCGGTTTGAAATGCCCATGTGTATTTTACTAATAAAAACTAACAGTGCTAAGTTAAAGTCTAACAATCAAAGTCTCTATATTCCATAAAATATTACAGAAAATTTTGTGTTTCAATAAAGACATTTTAGAACAGGCAGCTAACAACTGCAGTTTAGTTTTTTTGTGAATAAATTTTAAGAGATTACTGCCTATCTGTAAATCCTTTCTTTCTATAAAAAAGAACTATTAAAAATAATTGACAAATTTTGAGTTAAAAAACTTAAAACATCATCTATATCAAATTTCAACTTTATGATAGAGTACAGGAAGATGCTTAAGAAACATTTCAGTACATATCTTTATAGACTTATAAGTATGTAAACAACTATGTAACAAAAAGTTACCAAATGCAGCCTGTAAGAAATCAGGCAAATTTTATCATATTCAATAAGCTTTCCTCACATTCCGTGGCTGCTACAGCGCGGCACTAAACTTCTGCCAAACAAAAACAAACCAAAAATGCAATTTGTTGGCGCAGCAAAACATGTACAGGCTTGATGGGTTCAAAACATCAATATAATTTAAGGAAAAGCAAAATCACAATAAAATTTATGGCACTCGATTGCTATCTGGTTGATTCTCCAGCCCCTGTGTGGTTGAAAACGGGACTTGTCTTGGAGTCCCGCTGTGTGTCAGCGGGTGGCGCCACTAAACACTACTAATGGTGCACTCGGGCCGGACCGCCGCAGGAGGGCGTTCGATTAATGTTACTAGCGTGGGTGAAGACAGTATGTTCAGGATTTTGCGTAACAAATTAGCTTGTTACGTTTTCGTGGATGCTGGCAGAAAAACAAGCTTTCTTGGTCAACACGAAAAAGATCTTGCTATGGTAAAAAATGGTTTCGTGTTGGACTGTGTTGAGTTCATGACTCAGTTCCCAGGGGGGCGACTTAGGGCTTTTGATGTATCTGCAGCCGGCCGCATTTCAGGAGTGGAACGCTAAGCTTGTAAGAAGAAGGGAAGCTTCTGTGAGCAATTGCGGGGTAAAGAACCTTGCACCTCGAACATACCAAGAAAGAACGTTCAGGGATACACAGGGTTCACGGGAGCGTGCTTTTCTCAACAATAAAAAAATTAAATGACGCCACAAGGAAGCTAGTATGCAATCGAGAATTTGGGATGTCTTATAGTTTAAGTGACCCAGTTTACTCACTAAAGCAGGTACCTGAAAAAAGGCAGACGTGGGCCATAAGAAACCCAACCAACATAAGAATGTAACAGTTTGGATATTGATTTGAATAATTAAAAGTATAAAAGGTATTTTGGGGACTATTTAATTTTATACAGGATAATGTTGGTACTTACGGCTAAGCATTATATGTCTTTAATTAGAGATATATTTGTAAATATTTAAGGGGATGTGGTATAATGCCATAAGTGATTGAAAAACACTTCGGTAGGCAATTAAAAAGAACAAAGCCATAGATAAATCTTGGGGATGAGATACAGAGTGTTCATTTTACTATTCTTTCAACATTTCTGTAATAAAGGGGTACAAAAACTTTTCTAGTTTATTTTCATCAGTAGAAAAAATGATTAGTGGCTGATATCAAGAGCTGAATTTGTTAGTTATTTGGGCAGACTCTCCACTTCCACTCCTACTTTCTAAATAATCATGGCTCATTTACTTCAACCAGCTTGTAGAAAAATAAAGCATTTTACCCCCTTCTGTCTCTCAGAAGCTATCTTTCTCTCAATAAATTTTCCTACTCTTAAATAAAATAAACCATTCTATTGGATTTATTATGTCAGAAACTGGCTAAGATTTTTGGGGGGGGGCGGGTGCCGGGGATGCGGCGGAACCACTGAGCTAGATCCTCAGCCCTAAATAAGATTTTTGAAGCTGTAAATGTGGTAAACGTCAGGGAAGGGAGAAGGGAGGAAGGAAAGCAGAAATTAAAAAAAGAGAAAAGTCAAGTCAAGTGTTCAGCCCTTTAGAACTGAACCACTTGCACCTGTGTACTGAAAAAAAACTAATAAAAGTGGCAAACGTAAAAGGAATCTTGCTGAGAATTCTGGGAAGAGTAGTCCAGGAGGGCGGGGAAAGGACGCTGTGGGAAACGAGACTGTGTGCTGTTTTGCTGGGGATTCTGGGAAATGTAGTCCGAGAGCTGTGTGCAGCCGGAGCCCTCCCGTTGCAGGAGGGTGAGGTCCTCATCAATCCCCTCTGGGAGGTAAATTAGCTCTGATTCCCAGAGTCTACGCCGGCTTTTCCGGGTTGGGTTTGGGACCCTCAAGTTTGAGCCCTCGCTGTCAGAGAAAAGGCACCGTAGGGGCAAGGGCAACGGTTTGTGTCCCTTGGCTTTCAGGGCGGTTCCTAGGTCCCCAAATTGTGAGGTAGCCTGGGTTGCGCATCTCTGAGTTTGAGAGGTTCCCGCTGCTTCTCGGCTTTCTACACACTTTGCAGCCTTTGGGCCATGTAACCTTGGTAGATTTCATTTCATCGTGTCTCCTGCATACAGTGAGTTTAACGGTAGTACTTACCGATAATAGGTGCTGTGAACTTTGGGTAAATGGGTGTAAAAATGCTTATAACTGGTCCTGACACATTTTAGCTGGTGTCTGGTTGTTGTCAAGTGGTCGGTTCCGGACGCTGGGCTCCCCTGCAGCGCCTCTGGCCCTTCTCTGATCCCTGTTGGAAGCGCTGTTCCCAGCGACTCGCCTGGGCGTGTCTCACTTCCATCGGGTGCCTGGGGGTATTCACTGTGATTTATCCTGGACCAGAGACACATCCGGATTTCTGTCAGCCTCCTTTCCTTCTTCGGCTCTTACTTCTTTAGAGGATTGCAGAGAGGAGGGAAGTGACCCTGTGACTCTGATAACATCGTCCCATGGGGAGACAGTTCGCGTGACCTTTCTGCCTAGCTGGAGAACAAATTTCCTTCACTCATTAGCATGTTTTTTTCTGCTTGGCAAATATTCAGATAGTTATAAAATAAATAAAATTGGGTGAGACACATGTTGATGAATGAGTAGTAATAATCTGTTAGTGTACCCAGTGCCAGCTACTCTTCTGTAGGCTTCCTGTGCATTAATTGGCTCAATACTCATACCAAAGATAGTTATGATACCCACTTTATGGATAAGAATGTAGATAGCTAAGGAATTTAAGTTGTTCTTTCAAAGGCAAACAAAGGAAAGAACCTGAAACGGGAATTCAAACCTTGCAGCCTAGGTTGTTTGTGACCTTTGTGTCACACTGTCCATCAGCCCAAAAAAATGACAATCCCTACGACTAATGGCGGGGGTGGGGTGGATGGGTGGGTGTGTCATTTGGTAATGAATTAGAAAGGTAATATAAGACTTGCTATAGAAGAACTGAAGGCATGCTCTTGTAATCATTTTTTGTTATTTTATGACATTGTGCTCATATTCTGATAATAGAAATAATTTGTGCTCATCATAGAGAATTGGAGAAGTATCTGAAGAAGCTAAAATTATCCATAGTCTCAAGACATAGAGATAAGTGTAAACACCTTAATGCTTTTCCCTTTCATCATTTTTTTTTCTGGGTACTGGGGATCAAACTTGAGACCTTGCACTTGCAAGGTAGGCGGTGGCACCACTGAGCTAAATCCCCAGCCTTTCATCATTTCTATGGTATATAGTTTTTCTGTACTTTTACAAAATTGTGTCATATTTACAGTACTTTTAAATTTGATAGCTCTTGCTTATAATCTCCTGCCTAGGAGCTATGACTCAAGGTGGAAGAAAGACGGGAAAACAAGAATTAAACAGAATATAAAGATCTGGGACAGTCCAAACTGAGCTGGCAGCAAAGACAACAGGCACCTAAGACCCCTGGTATTTATTGATTACAAGTGTGGGAAGAAATAGGGCAGGGTGTATGTGAGGCATCTGGTGATAGTGTGTGAGGCATCTGGCAATAGCAGTTATTGCAGGCAAGGCTTGTAAAAGAGGGGCAAGGCATTCCTGCAGAAGGAACAAAGGGAGACCAAGACTGGGTTGTGATTAATCAGTAACCTGTCAGGTCAGTGAGGGGAGGCCATAATTCAGGGAAAGGAATTTAGTTGAAGCCACACTGTCCTTGGCCTTGATGATGTCTCAGTCAGGGCCCTGCAGCTTCACAGACCAGGACTTAGGTCTCTGCCGCAGCCATTGCCAGAGGGGCTCTGCTTACCCATCCACAGTCTGACATGCCCACATGAGTCACACAGGCCTTGGTCAGACTCCTAATATAATACAGCCAAATTATGGGGAAGCAAGAAGCCTGTGCCATTTATAGCCTGCTAGTAAACTGGGCAGGGGGGTCAGCTACAGATGATTAACAAGGAACATAACAACCCCATACCCATATATGTGATTTTCTTTGTTTAGCCCTCAGCTGATATCGTTCTGCCCCAGGGATATTGCAAGAATCACCATCCCTGCATGCAAACAAGGGAGGGGGCAGCCTTCCATCCCCTCTCTTGTCCCTAGGAGAGGTCAACAAGGCCTCAGTATCTACTGTTGATAACATAGCTCAGTCTCCTACATCCCCCCCCCATTTGTTTTTGTAATTGTACTAGTTGAATCATGGTCAGATGAGGGTGTATGTCTCTCAAGTGTTGTTTGATATTTTCTCTGGGGTGGCAGAAGTGGCAGAAGCTATGATTGCCATCGTAGCAATAAGAAGATTATCAGGAATACATGGAAGACCCTGTCTTGTCACCAAGTGTTTACCTTCCTGTGTGGTCTTTTTTCACTTGCCCCCATGTCAGCAGCCTCACTACTTGCAGGTTGGTCAGCAGCTGCTGTGTCAGAACATTGTTCAGAGACATTTGGGAAAATGCTCAGACTGGAGGTAGAGGTGGAATCATACTCCATGGGTGGTGAGGTAGGTGGTTTTCTCTATGGTCACACATTTTTAGAGGGCACTCACAGTTTGTCCACTTCCTGCAATGATACAAGCAAACTCTCACTCCCATGTTAATAAGGTAACTGGCCCTTCTCATTTTTTTGTTTTTGGGGATTGCCATAACACCTGTGTTTTGTCTGTCTTTCTTTGTTTTTCTTGCTCTTGTGCTTTTGACCAATGTTTTTTTCTAATTCTGTGAGGAATATTGTTGGTATTTTGACTGGGATTGCATTCAATCTATGTGTCAATTTTGGAAGTATAGCCATTTTGACAATATTGGTTCTGCCTATCCAGCTAAAGGGGATATCTTTTCCTTTTTTGATGTCCTCTTTAATCTCCTTTTTCAGAATGCTGTAGCTTGCATTGCACAGGTCTTCAGTTCCTTGATTAGGTTAATTCCTACATATTTAATTTTTCTTGATGCTATTGTGAATGGTACTGTTTTCTAATGTTTTTCTTAGTGAATTCATTATTGGTGCATAGGAATGCTATTGATTTTTGTGTGTTGATTTCATATCTTGCTACATTGCTAAATTTGCTTAATTCTAGGAAGCTTTTGATAGAATTTTTTGGGCTTTCTATGTAAAAGATCATGTCATCTGAAAATACTGATCATTTGACTTCTTTCTTTCCTATATGTATTCCTTTTATTTCTTTCTCTTTTTCTAATTGCTTGAACTAATATTTTGAGTACTATATTGAACAGCAGTGGTAATAGTGGACATGATTGTCTTTTTTTATTGGTACATTTTAGGTATGCAATATAATGACATTCATCATTGGAAATTTGCACCTTTACATAATCTCTCTTGGTTCTTATTTTTCCCCCA